AAAAAAAAAAAAAAATGCTCTCTCTTCCTCTTCCTTTGCCCCTCCCCCTCCACACCCTGCTCATGCTCGCTCTCTCAAAAAAAAATTGTCAAAATACTCTCTTGATCCTCAATACCAAAGCAATGGAAGAGCAATGTCTATAAACTAGTACTCAGATAAAAACTGTGGGTCAGGATGCCATTCAAATATAAAGGCAGGTGAGATGTTCTCAAATATGAAAATTTAGGGGTTATGGCTACACCTGGACAATGAAAAGATGATCAAATCACAAGTGGTATTAAAATCATTCTCTTTAGTATTAAAGAAGTCAACAGAAACTGTCCAAAACCGTAATAAAGATAAAATCTTCTAAAATATGAATATAAACTCAACGTTTTTAACTATTTTTTAAAGATTTATTTTAGAGAGAGACAGCAGGCGCAAGTGCGCGGGGGCGGGGGTGGGACACAAGGAGAGGGAGAGAAATCCCCAGACTCCCCGTTGAGTGCCGAGCCCAATGTGGGGCTTGATCCCAGGACCCCAAGATGATGACCTGAACTGAAGGCAGACTGAGCCACCAAGGCACCTCATTTAATAATTTCTTAATCTCAGAGGAAATCTTATGAAAAAACAAAAATATTTGATGTTTAAGAATCTCTTCAATTTCACCTATCTTTTTCTTCTACCAAAGTAAAATTAAACACTTCTTAGTAAATAACAACTATAATACAAATTTTTAAAAACTTTTTATTGAAGTTTAAGTGTCCTGCTCAAGAATTATTTCAAAACGAGTATTCTCACTTACATGCCACTCAGGTTAGGAAATAGAGTATTACCAGCAACTCAGAAGCTCTTCTACCATCCTCCCCTAAAACTCCCCCATATGTAACCAGTATCCTATGATCCCTTTTATATATCTATCCACCCTCCTATGTGAACAGATGCACAGAATGTTTAGAAGAATGATGGCCACCTAATGCTAATGACGCTTATTTCATCTTTGCACTTTTTGTGCACTGTTTGAATTTTTAATAATGAGAATGTATCATTGTTTACAAATTCACCTTTTGCATATCCCTAGCTGTTCATTTCTAGGAGGATAGGGACAGGATAACTTTATAAAAAGGGAATTTTCAAAGAGTGGAAGCAAAGAGACCATGGTATTAACAGCAGTTCACACTGTATAATAGGAATATGAATGAAAGACTATCCCTCATACTTTTTTTTTTTTTTAAAGATTTTATTTGTTTGACAGAGAGAGACACAGCGAGAGAGGGAACACAAGCAGGGGGAGTGGGAGAGGGAAAAGCAGGCTTCCTGCCGAGCAGGGAGCCTGATGTGGGGCTCGATCCCAGGACCCCGGGATCATGACCTGAGCCAAAGGCAGACGCTTAACGACTGAGCCACCCAGGTGCCCCATACTTTTTTTTTAAAGATTTTATTTATTTGTCAGAGTGAGAGTCAGAGTGCGTGCATGTGCACAAGCAGGGGGAGCGGTAGGCAGAGGGAGAAGCAGGCTCCCCACTGAGCAAGGAGCCTGACACAGGACTCGATCCCAGGACCCTGGGAACATGACCTGAGCCAAAGGCAGAC